AGCCTTGGGTAAAAGAAATTCTAGAATCGATTCTGCATTGAAACTGCCATGTTCAGTGAATGCCATTTTACTGACATGCCTGTAGGATCCTATACAAAAGTTCAGACTCTGAAGGTGGTGAAATTGTTACAGTGCACTTCTACTAATACAGATGTTATCTAGAGCAAGATCAGTCAGTGAACACATAATAGAAACCAAACGAGAACTTTTCTTCTTTGCTTTTGATTCAAACCACTCTTACACAGAGGAGGCAGAATAACACAGATTGTATGCCAAACTACAAAAGCATTGCAGGCTATTCAAAGTACAACTTGAACATTATGTCTCCTTCTGCTGATACAGTTCATTTCTAGATTATAAGGAATGCCTGTAATGTACATAACAGCTTAATATTGCTTCAAGTTTTTGAAGCATCTCAAAGGCAACAAAACACAGCCCAACTGAGCCAGCATAATATTAACAGAGTTGGAAAAAACCCATGCATCACAAGGATCATAACTCACAATGCTCCTGAAAAATAAAACAGTCAGAACTGAGGATGTGAGAATCGGTATGAAGCTCATAACAGCTATGTTACACCCTCAGAATATATGAAAATGTCTAAACACAGCATTATATATCATAAGCATCCTACCTTCTCGATTCTGATGAGCCCTGCCACTCAAATTTATATAAAACAAGTACATGAATGCATGTGTGGGCTGTGGTACAGACATGCTTGTCACATGGCTGATGATCTCAACCAAATGAAAACCTTTCAATTTACCAAGCACACCAAGCATATTTCCCCTACATTTCTCTACCTAGCTACAGATAATCAAATCAATGAATCTGATTGAACTGATACAGTTCACAATATGAATGGTTCTGCAAAAAACTCTGAAGTACTTCCAGGTGTTTTATAGGAATTATGAGGAATATGCAGAACAGAAGGTGGCACGTACACATTTTCTGGCTCCAAAAAGGGATGCCCTGTCTAACATATTGCCTTGATTCCAGACTTCTCTTTGTATCGAATTTCACTTTCTTAAGTTCCCCATACATTTCTGTGTATCTTTAGATAGATGACAGGCAGACACAGATGACAGACAAATATACATTAGAATGGTGACACAAGAGCAGTTTCATATTGAGCAAAGGCAGACTTCCCATTTTAAGTAGTATTTCAGTTCTTTGACTATAGAAACAATATAACAACAAAATCCTCCTTCACTTTCTAATCAATTTTTGTTATATATACTGCTGAGAATAAGATTTCAAAAATTGGATGATTTAGTTAGGCAGGACTTTGTAAGGACTTTTAATTTCAAAAATCATATCAAAAGAAAATTTGTTTTGAAAATCCATTATTCTGTAATGAAAGCTAGAATACAGAGACTTAACTTTATTAAGGTCAATAAAAACTTAGGTAGTTGATGTTCTCACTGTCTTTTAAAATTTCATTTCTTAAAAAAAAACATTGAAAACAGCAGTCCTTGTTCACATTCCAATAAAATTAAAGGAAAAAAGACAGATTCTTAGAGTAAGCTCTTCATTATAAATACTCTTCAGTCTCAAAAATTGCCATTATTGTCTGACTGTATTTTTAAGAGAGACTTCACTGAGCGTTCATGAAAGCTGCAGGACTGCATGCCCAGAGATTCAGACCCTAATGAATTTTTACCACCTTTTTTCCCCTCCATATAAATCCGCATGGATGAACACGAGAAATTGCAGCCCTCCCTCCAGCTACGACTTCTTCAATAAACACTTTTTCATACTCCAAACCTCTGTAAAGTAGGTACTTTACAGGCACAGGTACATAGGAGTGGATCCACATTGCCCTAAGCCAATTGATGAAAGGGAGGAAACGCCCTGATCTGCTTCATTCATATGCTCATGCCTGGACTGGCACACACTGACACACACAGTCCTTTCCGAGGCACCCATAAGGAACACTGATACCAGAGTCCCAACCAGCCCTTTCATCTCAAAACCATTAACTCTTTTGACATGTGCACCTCTCAGCACCTGCAGGCAGCGAGCATGGGAGGTCTCTGCTGAACAGGAATAATGTACCTCACTGCCTGGGGCCAGGGAAGAACTCATCACCTGCAGCTAGGGAAGAACTCATTGCCTGCAAGCAGGAACAGAGATGAGACATGAACCCTCACTCAGCCAAAGAAATAAACACAAGGTGCTTATTCAAGCCCACAGGGTGACACTGCAGAGTCATATGCTCCTCTCAAACAAGCACATGTACACAGAAGTCACAGCCAGTGCTGAATTTATGAATTCCTGAGTATGCAATAATATTCTTCTCTCTCCACAGTAGTAGCTAAAGTAGTCTGGAAACAACATGACATAAAGAGATAATTTATTGCCAAAATGCAGATCTTCAGAACATCTGTCTGCGGGGCCTCTCCATAAATTCACATGAAGCCATCAAGGCTTAGGCTTACAGCACAACATAACCACGTTGAACAGCGTTTCAGATGCTCTTCAGGTTCTCCGGTATTCTGGATACTGTCCAAGTAGTAATTAATAGAGTCAACACATTCCCAGTATTTGGTGTTGATTTGAAACTGCACAAAACTGTCTCCTCTGAGAGCAGTGAAATGCAGAACATATGAAATCACATTAGACGCTTTCAGATGTGGAACTTACACAATATTTGCTGAGGATAATAAAATCTCATCAGCCCTTATTCATGCCAGATAATAACAAACTATTTTCTGTCAGAGCCAGGGACGTTTAAAAAAAAACATGCCATCTCCTCCAGTTATGAAAAGAAACAGCCACTTCACAAAAGCTTTATTTTATGGTAATATCAAAATAATGTAAATAACACACTGGAAGAACCACAAGGCAATATAAGTTCCATATAATCCAGTTACCTACCACCAAATCACTGAAGAGGGAAGAAATCAGCAGCTTGTGGCTGTGTGGTGCTTACAAAACAGCTGTACTTACAGTCAACAGAGGGGCAAAACCCTGTGTTTATTTCTGGAACATCTACACAGGAATTATGTCAGCACCAGTCTTTAATGGCCTCACCTCCAGTCTGCAAGAGCACAGCTGAAAAGGCCATTCAATCTGTTACATCCTTACAAGATCCTGCCTGCTGAGCTTGCAAGAAGGCCAGTTCATACCTAGCAAATGCTCTTGCTTGCTCACTCCCACCATGCATGAAGCCACAGCTTCACCAGAGCACTCATATAAAGCTCTGATTGTTGAAGAAGGCTTCAGTGTCCTCTCCAGAAGCACCATCTAAGAATTTCCAACAGTGCTTCCAGTGCTACCCATCAGTGAGATGAAAGCCACACAACAGAGCAAAGCATTTACAGATATTAATGTGTTAGTATAATTCTATTAAGTCAACCAGGAGAAGGCAATGCTGCAAGGAAAGATCTGTAGCAGTTGGTGCACTACACCAGTGACATAGACATGAAGAGAAAGGGAGGACTCTAAAAGAGAGGAATGCCTAAAGAGCATTCAAATATGATTGACTGTGTTCTGTTTAAGAGGGACTCGTTTTCAGCTCAAAACTGAACACCAGATTGCTGCATACCAAGCTTTTTCTTATTCAAAACCAAAGATAGCCCTTGTAGGGGGCAGGTATTATCACAGACCCTGAGGCTAAGCCTTTGCAGCCTGAGTGTTTTATCAAGCTACTGTAATTCTCTTGACTTCTGAAAATCAAACTGTTAGTACACGGTTCACCTCAAACCTTTACAAACATGGATGCCGAAGTGCTGTTTCACAGGTATCCAAGTACCTCAGGGACAGCCCAGGAAAAAGATTTAAAATAAATTGCCCATTATCTTAAATTTACTACGTTCACATAAAAGACTTTTAGGGCTTAGTCAAATAGCAAATACCAATGTGTATTGATCTTGAACAATTAGGTAGTGACAGAATCAGAGAATAAGCCGAGTTGGAAGGGACTCATGAGGATCACAGAGTCCAACTCCCAGCCCCACCCAGCACCATCCCCAAGCCCTTCCACCCTTCTACAGGAGAAGCTAACAACATTGGAAAATGCTCTCTGCAACTGGATATAAATAAATCACTTAGCTACTAGGTATATAAATAAAACAAATGTTTAGATTTCTCCTACTAATTGAATACAGGAAGTACACAATTTTCAAATGCGGCTTTCCTGTTCCAATACCAGATACAAAAACTTCATTACCCAGCTGTAATTACTTCCTCTTCATTATGTAGTTCATAGGTAGAGAGGGACAGGAAGGCTGTGTTCAACACACGTAGCACTTGGCAGGAAAAGTGATGGTGATTAGGCATGGACACATTACCGCAGTTCACATCGAGTTTTGGTTAGCTTGATACAGTTTTACCTTATACGGTTTTAACCAGTTCATGGAGAAGCACAGAACTTATGCCAGAACAGGTTTAACCTGCCAGGAATTTTGCAATGCATTTGAACCATCAGAAGGAACTTGTATTTCACAGAAACTCTAGTCAAACAGTGAGATTTGAAGGAAAAATAAAGTGGAACCAAGATGGCAGGAGAAGAAAAGGGAATGAATGGTGGCAGGCGGTGGAGGAAAACCAAATCCTAAATTATCAGGCTGGGCAGAAAATGACTCTTGAAGCAGTCAGCACCAGAACAAGGAAAGAGGCAATCTTCCTAATATGTTTGGTCTGTTTGGGAAGTAGCTGTATGGTATCAGGGGACTCGCAAAGCAAAAAGCTCACTTCTGTAGCAAGTGGTGGCACTAAGGAATCAAGAAAAGTGAAGATTCCAAGATACCATGCTTCCTTGCAAGAAATCAGTTAGGTTGATTTCTCCTCCTCTATCTTTATAGCCTAAGATAACCTCACCACGAGAGCCCTGTCCTCCCTTCCCAACCTAGAAAACAATAAACAGCACTCCCTGCTGCCACAAAAACAAACAAAAATTTATATATATATAAAAATTACACCACGCAGTCATGGTACAAACCAGCTCCTGTCTAGAGAAAGGGAACAAGGAAAAACACAACAACGCTGTTACTTACATTCTTGTATTGCTGGTCTTGTTGATAATTACAGATTTTCCAGTCTGATCCACATTGTGATCCATTCCAAAATAAGCTGCCACTCTGTGCACTAGCATCCTCTGATACGATGACATCTGAGGAAACTTTTTATAGTGATTACTAAAAACAAAGGAAATGAATAGCATTGATAATTAAATTTCGCTCTAAGCCATAAATAAATGAAAACAGCAATACATTTGACAATTCAGTGCACAGAAATCTCACTGAAAACTTCTCCGTTTTGCATTTACATATAAATGCTTGCTACAGAAAGGCTGAAAGAAAAATGAATTAATTTTAGAATTTCTAATAAGTACATTTTCATGTGCAACACTGGGACAAACAAAGCTCATGCTTCACGGTACCTAGTCAGTATTCTGAGTGTTGGGAAGAACTCATCCCCCAATCCCCCACATGCACTCACGCTCCCTGCACAACCAATCCTACAGATTTGCTGAGACACTGGCAACAGCTTTCTGCCTTTCTCCCAGAGGTCAGATGCAGGGCAATTCTGGTTTGGCAAACACTCCTTTTTTCCTTTATTACTGACAAAATGGTTATTTCCCATCAGCATAATTTTTTCTTCTGCTGCTATTCTGACTCTCTAATTTTAAAGCTACTGGAATATTTTATTATAAAGACCACATAGTAGCAAGAATCCCTCCACCTAAGCTCAGTTTTATTTTCCAATGCATTAGAATAACATAGCACAAAGGAAAAAACATAGGATAACATATTTGATTATCCTCTACACTAAAAGCTTTAATTACATTTTTGGATCTAAATGAGCAGAGCCAGTGCAATTACAACACAATGAAAAGCAAAAGGTTTTCATTTACATTGACTTTATTTTAAGCAGTTCCACCACGTGGCAGGAAATAGAAGCCTGCTCCTGCAGTGTGCCAGTAACAGCCCTCAGGAGCACTGTAGTCCATATGAGAGCATCCCTCGCACAACCCACGCTGCAACACACGCGCGTGACTTAATAAACCAAGCGTGGAGCTCAACTTACTTGTTGTCACTAATAAAATCAATAATTTCCTGTTCCATTTTCAAGAGGATCATTCTGTCCCTGTCAAAAAGAAATGCAAGGATTTGCACCAACAACTATGAGCAGACATTTTAGAGGAAAATATTCACATAACAGTGTTCGTAAGGCTATTTTGCAAGTGTTGTCAGTCATCTTGATTAAAAATCAAACATGCTTTTTTGGGTTTTTTTTAACACCGGATCATCTGCAAAAGACTAAAGCCTGCTTTTCTGCACTTCACTGACATACAGATTTCACTCTTCTATGAGCTCAACTATGGTTTGAGAGTGCTTTCAGCCACAACATGCTGCAATCAATAGGTTGCACAGAAAGACTCTCACTGCTATGAATAGCTTTGGTCTTTTTTCAACATGTTTGATGGAAAATGAGATTTCCACCTAAGCTAGATCTTTCACAAGAAGAGCTGCTACCCACAGAAATTTTAAACATTTTTTCTGACACATACCAGAATCTCACAAGGCACTGATGTGCTGTAGAAAAGCTGGACACATCTAATCTAGTTAGAGAACACAATGAAGAACACCACCTTTGAGCTATGGTTCCCAGGAGGCAATGCCACAGTATTTCTCAGGCAAAAGGCTCTGGTTTTCACTGGAAAGTCTCAGATGTTCCTTTTCCCTCCCCTCCCTTGTCAAAAACATTCAAAAGTTTCCCCAGCATATTTCCACATGTTTCTAAGCTGGACAGAGTCCCCATCATTCCTTAGTTCTTTTGAACTTTCTCATTTTGCTCAGATAAAGCAATTGAAGGATCTTCCATCATCTGTACAAGGGGTTATGCAAGCTGTTGGGTACCCAGTTATTCCCAGTTCTCCTGGGAATAACTGCAGAATTACATGGTACCTATTTAACAGATCCAGCTGAAATGAACATTGAAAATCTCAATGTATAAAAATGTTACAGATCTTTCCTTGGATGTTTAGATGCAAATTTAACAATGAGATTTTCTAGCTCCAAATGAAAACTATGGCAACACTGAGAGCAGAATTTGGCACTGAGGACAGGATTCTAATTGTGTGCACAATTGCTAGAAGAAAGCTACTTCACATTCATATATAAATCTCCAACCACAATAGTTATAATATATTATTGCAATCACCATGTAGAGCTGCATAAAACAAGGTAAGGACAAAGACCAGATGTTACTGAAAGCGAAATTAAGCAATGGGTGACTGGATGGGGGAGCAGAAGTTGATGACTTTTTTATGCCATTTTTCTCAGTTAACAGCCTACCTCCTTTACATTTTCCCTCATAACCATCTCCAGAACAAATAAAACACAGTGTACAGTTCTAAGAAGTTAAAGACTACCAACTACAATTTCAGGAATGTCAGCTCTAACACAGGAAATACCTACCTGGGGTTATTCTTTAATGTGTTAATGAGAAACTCATGCAAATCTATGCCTGTTGAGTCTGTATACTCTTGACTGCAATCTGAAAAATAAAAACAAACAGCCTCCACTCATTTATTTCATTTCAGCAAAATCCATTTTCCAGTAACAATCAGAAAGAATGTGCTCTGAAAGAATAGTCATTTGGAGTTAAGCCACGAAAGATATACATTCTGAAGCATCAGGTGGATATTCATTGTTCCTCTGTACAACTCCAATGAGAACACAGCATCAAAACTATTGACAGAAATTGCTGATCATTAAATAACATAGAAAACCTTCAATGCCATTCAAGACCCTGCCAAGTTCTTCCTTTAAACCACTAAAAAAAAATTAAAATGAGGAAAGAAAAGTTTTATTCATCATCTCTTTGCGTCACTTAATAAATGCTGTACACTCAGCAAATGAGGAATCATGCCAGTGGGAACTCTATTTGCATTAAAAGACTGAAATCCAGTGACACCTGGGAGTAGGCAGGTAATAGGGATGCGTGACAGTAGCCGGAATTAATTTTTCAGCATTATCTCCCGAGTCAAATGTACACACAGATCCTCAAGTTGGCGTGAACTGTGAGAACTCCATTGAAGCCAAATGACAATTCGCACCAGCTGCAGATCCACACCCAGGTAGGCAATGATTATTTTTGGGAGATTACAATGCAACTTTACACCATAGATTAATAAAAAGATTTCTAAAAGCAATGCCAAATTTAGCTAAAACATCTTTCCTGAAGGAGTCTTGGTAGGTGATAATTGAAGATGGCAATGCAGGTTAAATGTCATGGGTGAATTTCCTTACAGCATTTAAAATAAATTCTCCATGACATAGAAACAATAGTGAAGAGGATTACCCTCTACTGCCTACACTGCACAAGTTACATATCAATATGTTATCATTAATCTAGATAAAAGAGTATTTATGTCTTATGCACTATATACACTTATTATGCAATCACACATATATTTATATATTTATATATTTATATATTTATATATTTATATATTTATATATTTATATATTTATATATTTATATATTTATGTGTTTATACCAACACATAAATATATAAACCAAGTTTGGAACTCAACTTACTTGTTGTCACTAATAAAACAACATGGTTAAGCATTCAAAAGATTGATTTTATATTAGAAAATAAATAAAATCTAATAAAAGACCTCAGTTTGGAAGGTTTCTTCACTTTAAAGCCTAATGTTTGTATGAAAAACATTCTTACACATATACATTTTAGGCTCTGAATTTTCTCAGAGTATGAAAGCACTTTTCTGTGTACACATACACAAATAAAGAAATACATCCTTGCAAAAATGTATAATCCTTTCTGCAATGGTATTTATAATAATTCAAATATTTTTAAGTTCACCTTTTGATAACATTCTGATCTTGCTTTTTTCACTGTTTTTATCTTTATTTTTATCCTTCTCTTTTTCTTTCTCGGAGTCATCTTTACTAGATTTATCTTCTTCTTGCAAGCTAGGAAAACTTGAAAGCTGCAGTTGGATTGATTCCTGTTGGGGAAAAAGATAGATAAATTATGGGCAAGATTCAGTGTGCTTTCCATGGCTTCCAACCTGTAGATATCAGCATTAAACTATGCGTAACTAGAAAAGTTGAAGCCAGATACATTTCTTTCCTATTTGAAACATGGCATTTTTTAGCCAGGTGAATGATGATATCTTAGAGGCCAATTTCTAGTGGTAAGTAGGTATTACTTCTCTAATATTTTGAATATTATAAAATTTAGGCTACCTCTATTAAGGGGGACTATATTATTTTACAGTTCAGTAACTCTCCCTTACAACTTTTCAGAATAAAATACTAAATACTTTTCATATGGCCTTTCTTAATTATATCATTTAATACTACATATGTTCAGTGATGACCAATGGATAGATATCTGAAAAATAAAACTTTTTTCCTTTCACTAGAAAGTCTGCAGGTTGATATGAATTGTTTTGCACACATAAGTGCATATCAGGTAGATGGAGTTTTTTGGCTCTAACAGTAGAAGACTGCCAGCTAACTCTACATTATATTGTATACAAGAGGGCTTGCTAACTTATCAGGTAATTCATATTTAAAGACATATGCAGATGTGTCTTTTGCGAAAGGGAGGAAATGTGCCCTGTGATTTTTCAAGGACATTGAGTAAGTGAACTTCTCTATGACATCACAAATCCAGTATTTCAGAGACTAGGAGTCCTTTTGAAACATGCTTCAGCTTTAATAAGTTAATTTTTAAGCATTTTGAGAATTCAAGCTGCTTTGCATTTTCTAATTTCTTTAAAGAACTTGCTTTCCCTGCTGACAGCATTACTTTATACTGGCTTTGTCTTAACAAAACCCAATTTGTTTTCTTTTTAAGTTACCATGGCATAATTTATGTATTTCCAGAAATCCTATTCTGGTTGGACAAAATTGAAGGAAGCATACTTCTGTGTTTTATTTTTTTAAAGGAAAAAACCCACCCCAGAAAACTATATGCTTAAGTAGTGTAAAAAAGAAAATTTAAAGAAAGCTGTCATAAAACTCCTTGGTAAAACAGTTTTCTTTAATAGAAGAGAATCATGCATGCTTGATAATTTTTTGACATCATGTTAATGAAAACCTAATTCACCAATACTTGAGATTTTCAGAATTTCTTGAATGCTAGTGAATTCCCTTCCTTTACTATTTTTCTAAGAATACTAGCATACCAAAAGATCAATAGAAAACTTTAAAGTAAGGGTTGCTTTTAAGCAACCATTATGAATTCAAAATGTTTCCAGTAATTATTACAAATTTTAGGTTTCTGAATTCTTAAAAAAACTACAAATCAGCCATCACAAGACATGTAAGACAAGATCCTAACAAAACAAGGCATCAGCATAAACATGCCACAGTAAGACAGAAATTGGTAACTTCTCAGCTTAATCATTACTAACTTTTTGTGAAATCTGAATGTGGCACAAAAGACTTGAGATGAAAAGCATTGTAAAAGAGCAATGAAGACCTGGACTCGATATTAACCTGACCTACCACCCTTCATCCCTACTTCTGTCTCACACAAAATCTGAGCCTACAGAGACAAAGAATGGGAATTCCTGGTCATTGAGATAAGGATATATTGAGACATGTTTTCTGAATTGCTCAGTTGTGCTCAGAGAACTAATGCTGTGTCTGCTTTCTTTCACTTCAAATGGCAGTTTGATTTCTCATTCAAACAAACTTTGGATCAACTATTTCCAAATGACCCCAAAGGATAACTTGATGCCCTGCCCAGAACAGAGTGACTGTGGTGCTAGCTTTTCAACAGGAGAAAAATGTAACTGGCCACGTTGTTCCCAGGATATTAATCCTAAACTTCACAGTGGTTCTTAAAAATGCACTGATGAAAACGACAGACTTTACAGAAAAGCACATATATGAACATACAGTAAATACTGCTTTACATGTAATGTAATACTGATATATTTGCCCTAGAAAAAACACACAAAAGGGCTGTAGAGTCGTGAAAGCAAGCTACTGTGTATTTTCTTAGATTTTTATTGATTTTTCTCAATAATAAAATACAATGTTAATAAATACATTGATACAAGTATAGTGAACAACAAAATAGATTTTCAAATTGCAATAATACACTTCTTGGTCTGTAACATTAAAGGCAACATTTTTTTTTAAGTAAGGACATAGTGAACCATTGGATAAGCACTCAAGATCAAGTAATACAGGTAAACAAGATTTTTCCTTATACAGGAAAATGAAGGCAAGTATTCAAATATAAGTACAAACATCAAGTCTGCAGTACAATCCATACTCAGTAGTTCTGGCAAGATACCGTACATTCTCTGATAATTAATTCCCTGTGGTTTATAAGCCATTAAGATAAAATAAAAATTAATTTTAAAAAAATCCCAAACCAAAAATAAGCTACTTCTCCTCTAAAGTGAAAGCAAAACAATTTGGTTGGCACAAAACTTCCTGTATCCTTCAGCCAGCCCAGGGAGGAGCCTGCAGGTCCAGATTTCCATGGCAAAGTTGAGCCACATTCATTAATAAAAAGTCAGCAAGAGCAAAAGGGCAATTCTTATGAAATTAATGACACCAAGCCAATTGCTTCCTTAGAAAACACGATGGGGTCAAGGGAGGCATTTCATCTCTCATAAAAGTTTTAAGATGGTCAAAGAAATCTTTGCTGAGGCTGGTCAGTCAGGTAAGACCAAAGGCTGTGTGAAACAGGAACCCCTCCTCTGTCTGGTGCAAGGATAGGGATTTTGCCTCAACACCTGTCAGTCTCTCTGTAGTTTAGTACAGGTCCTGTGCAGTACATGGTAAACTACCAGCAATGCTTAATACAATCTTTTTATACTGTTCTCCTTCTCGTTCTCCATTAAACAATTGAAAATACAAACAAAATTGGAACAAAAGCCACGTATTTTGAGTAATGCAAGTCAAGCGAAAAGCGTCTACCTACAACAGAAAAACTGATAAAATAACCTGCCCATCTACTGCATAAGCACATTGTAGAGCAGTAGAACACACAAATGTCCTGCTGCTAAACAACTTGGTTTTTGGTGTTTCAATAAAATTAAAAAAATAGAAAAACCTCTCCTTACTTATGAGCTAAGAGGAGAGACAGATTTGTTTCATTTCAAGTCAATAGAGGAAACAGTGAGAAAGTACACTTAAATGTCATTTTTTATTTTTGTGCTAAGCTCACAAGAAGCCACTTACTTAAGCTCTCTCGATGGCTGGTTTCAGTTGCACATAAACATCTCATAAATTATAAGCAGTATTCATCATATTTTGGGTTTTAGTTAGCTGGGTTTTTTTAAGTCTTGCTCTCACTAGGCAAGCAAAGAGGAGTAACTGAGGCTTAACTTTTGCTTTCTGGAGTACTTTTTGAAGTTAGTCTGCAAAGACTTCCACCAGTGTTATTGTCTGAGGTGAGGAGTGCAGGGGACAGAACTCTACCAGCTGCTGGGAATACACCACCAGTACAGATAAACTCAAATACACGCTTTTTGATAAGCTTTAATTTACACCAAGAGTTTAAAAAATGAATGCCACTCAGTAGGAGGCATCCTTGGCTCTACCAAGGTATTTCAGAGAACGAAGGATCTTTGAATTTTATGTGAAGGGGAACACTGATATGAACTGAAGTCTTAGAGGAACCACAAATCAGAGCATATTCATAACTGTATTTGGTGCAGCCTCGATAGAGATAGCCTTAGAGAAAAGAACATATTAATATTCTTTTTGATTGTTACTATTTTTAAAAATTTTAAAATCTGAATTCTTTTGAATTCTTTTCCATTTGCTGAATTTTTCAGGGGGTCTGGAAAAAAAAGCAAACAACACCCTGTGATATAGTATAAAACTAGTATTTCAAATTAAAGTTCACGCTAAACCAGTAAGAACCATAAAAACGTGTTCATTGTTGGATGTAATTTTTCCCCCAAGAAAGACATTGTAAAATGCCCGATTAAGTAACACAATCATGCAACTGGAGATGGAGGCCAACCATGCAGCTAACAGCAATGATTGCAAGTGTACCTGGTTGTCATGAAGATTTTCTGCTCCCGGGCGAGGGGATGACTCTTCACAGACAGCAAGACTCCGCACGAGTTTTCCCTTAGCTCCTGACTGAATAAGAGAGAGAGAGAACAAAACAGAAAACACTACTACTGACCCCAAGTTACATAAGCTGCCCACATAAGCTGTCTCAGGTAACTATTACCCACCCAGTGCAAAAAAATGCATTTGCCTTGGACGTAGATAAAAAAGGAGTCTAAGCAGCAAGACATTTGCCACACAGGGAAGGCGATGAGTTTCTTTTTGCTTTTATCATTTCAGCTACAGTTCACTCACTTCCACCGAAAGAGCAAAGAACAGATAGTCCAATACTGGAAGTAATTTAACATAAATGCAAGGGTTCTTTTTGACATTTGGTCTGGGGCTTTTCTTTTTGTTTGTTCTGGGAGTCCCTCCCCTTCTTCTAGTAGTATATATCCAAGAAATATGGACACTAAAATATGTGTGTATTACAGATCTGCACTTGAAAAATTAAAATAAGTTTTTAAGGGTTTCATTTGTTTCTAGAAGCTCCTTTCCACACCTGCCCCTACCCACTCTCCCCTTAGGGAGCTAGTCAATCTCTGTTTCTTTATGTCAAGATTATTCTATTAAAATGAAACTCCAACAGAAACATTAATTACTAAAGCAAAAGGAGTGAGCGTTTTCCTTTTTCAGTGGTGCATAGAAGCACACATGCTGTCTAACACAAGGACACAGCAAGCCCAGCAGCAAAAAATTATGATGGATAAAGGGAAGCCTGACACGTTGTATCTGGAGGCAGTTCTTTGCCTTTGTATAAAAGGACTATAGAGTAGGGGGCAAGAAAAAACCTGCAATGCTAACAAAAAACTCAACCAGACAAGTGACAAAAGAAAGCAATTTTGATTGTAGACAGACATTTAACTGAAATTCTTCACCCTACTGTAGCATGCAACTCCAAACAGAGATGGACCCTTACCTTGGATCTCTTTTTCTGATTCGCCCCTCGTTTCTGGGTATAGCAAAAAAAGAGAAACAGTTATCACTTCAGTAGACAGTGGGCATGATGAAAGTATTACCAATAAACATACTAAATCACTTCTATCTAATGTTTTAAATAGTTGCTGACTGCAAAAGCAACTTCCCCAAACCCAGTTTGGAAAGCAGGGAAAACCAAGAACCATCTCTGCCCATTTTCATTCATTTCACAAACAAGTATAAACAAACAAACAAACAACAAAAAAAAACTACATAGTGTTCTGTAATTTTGCATACAATAAAAATGTAAGAAAAGGTATACTTAAGTAAATGCTCCCCCTCTCCAAATTCCTCTTAAATTGTGGTCTCCCCCTTTATTTTTTTATTCGATTGAGCAAAAAGGATTAAAAACCCCTCATCCGATAAAGTCTTCTTATCAAATTACCTTCTTAGGCTTTGCATAACAACTTTTTGTTGGCAGTAACACCTACAAACCAAACCACACATTAAGTAATTATTCATTAGTATTACCTGCAAATTCATGAGATCAAGGTAGTTTTCTAAATCCCCAAAGAGGGAAAACAGTCAAATGTCTCACCAAGCTTTAAAACAGATGTCTAGAAATTAACTTCTCAGAACAAGTAATAACATGGACAGCAGCCTAAAGAGCTTGAAAGGTATAACAAATAACAACACTTATTTTATAGTGAAATAACCCAAAATAAATAAATAAAAATTTTAAAGAGGAAAAAAATAGAAACAGTCATAAGAAAAATAGGGGAAGTGTAGGCAATGAAAGAACTCACAGAAATGGAAAAGCAATGGTAACACATTGATATTTAACACGCCCATTCATTATTTCTGTCTTACCTGCAGCTCTGTCTTGGAATCACTGAGCTTCTCCTCCTCTACTTCTGAGCTTTCGGATTTATTAAGAACACAGTTGTCCGGGTTGGCTTCAGAGATGGCAGTCTCCTGCTCTTTTGCAGCTTCTTCTGCTGTCTCCTGGTTCAATTTACCTTGCTCAGACATTCTTCCAGACAGAAATTAAAATAACAAAATTTGGTGACCTGAAAGGTCAAGATACCACGACACAAACACACACAAAAAAAACATTGGGGGTGAAATTTATTTTTCTCTTTTAATTCCTAATTTCAGTTCCTTTGATAAACAAACCAAAATGTGCAGCTCAGAAGTGGAAAACTATGTATGTCCCAGCTGAAGAGATGCACTGAATCAACAATACTGGTTAACAGCAGAGTTCTGTCAGGTTAATCAAGCAGATCTGAACAGTCTTTCTGGAGAGCAGATTTAAGGTAATGTGCTGTGACTCTCCGCCCAACCCCAGGACTGCCAAGGTTCAGGCAGGGACAGTGAACGATTCTCTACCACAAAGCTCAACAGTACCAGGCAAAAAGGACCCATTTTAGGTCTCTGGCATCTTATGTTCCCCTCCTCTAATTGTTTTTAAATTTTCTTTTAATAAAAATAATAGACTAGCAAACAGAAATGAAAACCAAGCATGAGCAACAACACTGTTTTTAGTATTCAGCCATGGATTTTATGAATAGCAGAAGCAATGGTGCTCACTACCACTATAAATATATATTTCTCCTTTTTGTTTTTTTAAGAGGCAATAATTCAAGATAGGTATGAACTCTAAATTTGGCAATAAATCTCTCAGGGTCGACATTTTCAGGGATCAAACCAACAGCTCCATTATTAAAACCTTAATTTTCCCAAAACTTATGTCACTCTTCAGTACTAGGAAAATTGTACAGAAAGCCCTTGGCAGGTACTTCTAATGAAAAAATCTCAACTGAACTGCATTTACTCTCAGCTTACAATGGGGTTGTTGTACAGAAGCTTTAAAGGCTTTTCAGAGTTAAAGCCTATTATTATTCTCTCTCCTTCTCTGCCCCCAGCTCCCTCCTGAAGACTCCCCCACTGATCAATTGTCAAAGAAGACTCATGAATAATTTAACTTTTCTTTCCCCATCCACTTCACTTAAGAAGCATCTCCAAGAAAAACAACTGTATTTGAAATGTGAAGTTATTTCAGGAAGGGTCTTCTGCAACACATTGCCACTTCTCAACACTGAAAGGGCAGCTATGAAGCAAAATCACACTTTGCCACCTTTCTTTTTAAAGTTTTAAATTAAACATTCAACAGAAGCAGTATAACTTACCTTTTTTTTTTTTTAAGCCATGTTTTAAATAAAAAAATCTAAAGCATACTGAGTTATAAGCACTTACTTCTCCCACTTTTGGCTTTTGTTTCCACATTGTAAGCAATTACAATTTCCTGTATAATCTTCCAGTTTGAGAAGGACTGTGAACTTCATAAGAAATCTAGCTATAAAGTTCATAAACAAACTGAATGGAATATGAAACTAACCTGAAACTTGACTTGCCTTACTGTTAGCTAATTTATGATTCTCCTTTCTCCCACAGCTCTCCCCAAGAAAGCAGATGATTTTGGCTATTCTGCAGTTACAACTGAAACTTGAACTGCTTTGATGAAAATCCAAAACATGAGCGACAAGACCTTTACCTGGTCTGTTAAATAACCCTTAATTTGATAAGGATTTCCATCAAGAAATGCACATGCATGCACAAGCTCCTCGTGAGCAGGTTAACCTGCAGCTCGTCTACATGCCTTACATAGTGCTCAAAAAAACAATTACGCTGGGATCAGCTGCATCAAAGAAGCCATTTACCTGAAAAACTGCTATAATTCCAACTGCCTTTCTAGTGTCTTCTGTTGGTCTTTGCTGGTTAAGTCCACACAAATGATCAACGGCGACGTGAGTCCCATGTCCCCATTAACAGTTCAGAGTGCCAATCTCCATGCTGGTCCTTCGGAGAGCTTGACGCACCATAGTCAACCTGGAAAAGAAGAAAAATAAGTAACACCGGCAGTGATCACGGCACAAGGGAGGGGTGAAATGGACAGGACCAGATTTCTAACACTAATGACCAGTTTCCAGCAAGTCACTTTCACAGCTTGATCCAGCTCCACCTGTCTCAAAACTGCCTGTGTCTTCTCTAATGAAGGCTAGAGCCGGCTGTTCAAGTCATAACAGCTCCTACGCAAGAAGCTAAAATTAACAATTGCATTATGCACTGAAGATTACTCATTTCAATTCTAACCTTTTTTAGCGAATTCCAGCACTTTTCATTAAAAAAAAAAAAGCATATATACATATTTATATATAAGCTCATCTGTTTGCTTCAACAGAAATCAATGAGAGTATGAGGAGAAAAGATCTGCGTGCTTTTTAACCATGGCTTCTGCTCCAATTAAAACTTCAATAGTCAAACACTATTGAAAAAATAGCTAGGTGGGTACTTTTAGAAAGTGACCTGCATTACCAGGGGTAGTGAATTGAGATGTTCATTTAGCAAGCTCAATAAAATTTGAAATGATCCAGAATGGGAGGAGGAAGAGGAGGAGAAGGAAGAAATCCTACTCCCAGAATGACATCCACAAAATAAAATTCTTCTGAAGCATTTTGTGAGGAGGAAAAATGTAATTTCCAGGTTATGGTTTGAGAAATAAACCTAAAGAAAGAGTTGCCTCAGTAATGAAACTTTTACTGTTCATCAGGATTGCATTTGCCAGCTGAATCGCTGATTTAACAGAAAAACGAGCATTTTAGGATGAGTTGGACTGATTTACAGGCCATGGCCACGCGCTGAACTGTCTTGATACAACAGGCAGCTCTTCTCAAGACTTGCATGTGAGTCATGGTTGAACAAGTCAGTGCAGACACACAAAACCAGCGAACAGAAAGCACATATCATTCTACTGGGGAGCAGGGAGAAAGCTAAGCAAGAATAAGGGGAGATAATTTATGGTTTTTTGACTTTATCAGATTCATAATTTCTGCAGCACGTTTTACATTGTGTATGGCTGCAATTGCCACACAGCACGTGTCAGCACACTGGAACTTGCCATGTGAAAAACTCTGCTGCACCAGCAGTGGAGTTTAGCCTTTCACGGTATTCCAGCCCTGCTCTCTCCAGGAGCTCTGGCACACAGAGGAGACCAGCAGGCAGTTTGTAAACTATCACTGCCATCCTGCAAATTTATAAACACAGCCATTTCTTTTCCTTAAACCATTTCATAATTTGTAGAGAGTAATAAAAAATAAGTATTCCCACTAGGTTTTTGGTATTTCTTGCAGGATATTTTTGGAAATTCTAGCTCATTAGAAACATAGGTTCACAATGGGAGTGGAAGAACACCATGGAAAACTATGCCCAAGTACTCAAGCACATGCAAAAGAATCTCATGGAGCCAATACTCAGCAAGCAAAGAGTGAATAAACCACTGACTCAAAATCCTTTCCTCACACCCATCTTCCAATGACTGTTTCCCCCACACTTCCAAAAGAGAGATGGGGGAGAGGTTAGAAGATGGAATCAACCAAAATCAATCACAAACCAAAAATCCCAAGACAGTACAGTGCATGAAGGTTTCACCTGGAAAAGAGCCATCCAGGAAATAGACTGCTGTAATCAAAACCCTCCAAAACCAACAGAAACACAGATATCTGTACCAAAATCAGAATACACAAAAAAATTATTTCAGAACTCTCCAGTGTGACCATTTGTTGGGAATTAACTATTCATAAGACAAACAAACAGAGCAAAACAAAAACCAGACAACAAACCAACCAAAGGGTATCGTATGCAACAAGTGAAGAGATCTGCCAAGACTTGGTCTTGTGCACAGATGCTCAACAACATCTTATCATACTTTACCCAAGGCAAATTTCATTATAAAATGAGTTCCCCATATTGTTACACTTAAGATTTCTGAAGACACTATTTTTCACCGGCAATGTAGAAGAAGAGCACAGAATCTTAAATTAAAACAAAAGAAGCTGTCCATAAATTTCTCCAAGAAAACACAAGCAAATGGAAAATAATCTTACAATGTACAGCTACTATCCTCAAACCCAGAACAAGAACGTCTGTTAGGATAATTTTTTAAAGAAGTCCTTCATAATTATCTTCTGGGAAACAAAAAGAAGGCAAGAAGAAGTGAGACATACAGCAATCAAATCCAGCTCTTCACCGTCTCTTAATATAGATTTCCTCTTCCTTTATTAAGCAATTTACAAGTGATGACTAATCATTTACATACTACAATACGTAAAATACACTTCTGGTTGTTTGGGTGGGTTTTCAGAAGGGCTCAAGTTTCCATAAAATATTTTAGGGAGTATAAACAGCAAAAAGGAATCAGTCAGAAAATAGCCCTTAAAAGTGAGACATTTTCTGTTGGAAGTGTGTCTCTGTTTCTCGTATGTTTCCAGGATATTTCGTTATTCAGTGATGAATGTACTTTTTACTATTGTCAGTGTTGCAATGACAGCACTGCTATGGAAAAACACACTGGATTATTCTCTTTCTTGCGCATCAACAGAAATGTCAGGGATGATTTGACTGTCAAAATCTTCAGTACTGAAGTGACGCAAAAGGCTGAACAAATGCACTTCTGTTTTTGATCCTCAGGTAGAAACCACAAAGCTTGTTGCTAGGCAAAAACCACCTTCTTGATATGCAAGGGAGCAAAATTTCATCGGGTGTTGGGATCTTAGCAGTCACCAGGAGCTTGCGGCAAAATTTCAGCCCCTAATTCCTTAAAGCAACTTGAGTATTGCATACAGCAATACAACAGAAAATACAGGGACCCACCAAGTCACTTGTAGATCCACTTTAATGGAAATATAATCTGTTTGCATAGAATTTATAAGCACCAGCTGCTCAGCATACACTGTGGGATGGGAATGCTGAGAGTTTTTTTCTTAAATTCTTTTCCTTTTAACAGGATTTTCATTTTAGAAGCTGAAGGTACTACTAAGCTTGAACAACTACAGTCAGAGCTTGAAGAGAAAGGAATGGAAGAAGGCGTGGATGGTCACACACATTCATACAACACATACCACGCAAATTCCAAGAAAAGTCCGTGGGAAGGAATACAATTAATTTAATGCAAGAGTTTAAAAACTATACCCAGAAGAAGAACTGTCAAAAAAAAAAAAAGAACAGAAAAGCAAGCAAAGATGCTAGAAAGCCCTATGCAACAAGCACCTGAGAGCTCACCATCAACTGAAAATCAAGAGAGACATCTGACAAAGCCCTCAGAGGCCACTCCAGGTGAGCAAGCCCTTTCTGTATTATGTACGAGATGTTTTGATGGCCTCATAGGTACATGTGATGAAGCAGGCATTCCAAGATAATTATGCTCCCAGTATCACACATGTCCTCTCTCAGAGAGGAGATCAGCAGGCTTTGAGGCCAAAGAGCATACTCTTAACCACAAGCAATCAACAGGAGGCAGGACAGAACTCTGACAGAGTGAAATCCAAGAGCTTTTCTTCAAACAAATCTACCAAGCATAGAGGTAAAAGTCATTCCAAAGCCTGAACAGTTCCTGCTACTGAAAACTTGCTGACGCTGGCCATATCTGTAAGCCAGGATCCTTCTCGTCCCATCATGATTCTCCACTCTCAAGAATGGTTTGCACGTATGACTCCATGGGCTGGGAGCACAGTTGTCAGTTGGGCTTTCCATTGCGCGACATAAACCTCACCCATATGTATCAAGAGAGGTTTGACTCATTATTGCTAAATCATCAGACTCCTGGAATCCACTGGAAATGGACTCCAGCATTATCTTAAGATTATCAGTAGGCACAACCCTCAATTTTGCCAGATTCTCATGTCTTAAACCATAAACTTCCTGTTATTTGACATTTACTTAAATATTCTTGTTTCTACCATTAAGAAAATCAAAGAAAATCTCAGGTTTCATAATGAAAACAAAAGTTTCAACTCTTTGGTGTCTTCAAAGAAAACATTAATGATATAAAATTTATTTAAAAAAAAAAAAAGAAAGAAAACAACAAAAAAAAAAAAGAAAAAAGAAAAAAACCCCAACCAATGAAACATCACCATCAAACACAAAAAAGGCAAGTAAAAGAAATCCTGCAGTTTTAGATCAAACACACTACTACTCAGTCCATCTCCCAGTCTTTAGGATTAGCCCTAGTTCTGGTCTTTACATCATTAGACTCTGCGCTCCTTTTCACCGTTTTCCCACATTTCCCAAAGAAATACAGAAATGCACTTGGAAGCCAGTGCATTAGCATAGCAGGATAATAATCCATACCAGTTCTCGTATCAAAATGCTTTAGTATGAAAAAAACCACCAAGCTTAAAGCTGTGAAATGCATGGAATCCTACAAGTTCATTGATTGTTAAAAGACTGAATGCTAAACCTTAAAAAAACAGTGCAAAAATATTTGTAATTGAAGTGTTTGATGTCATATTTTATTTCCCACCTCCTCCTCCTCACATTGTCCCCACTTCATCATCACTAAAAAAATAAATAGTGTGATTGCCTACATTTTCTGCTCCTACATGCCACAGACCTTTGCAAATAAAAGGTTATTTAGACTCATTTACTGATGGCACTTTACCAGAGACTGTCAGCAGACGCTATTTTTTTTTCCCATGAGTTAAAAAAACATGAGCATCTGCATACAAGCAACAGTGCAGAGGCCTCTGACCCATCTTAAACAGGCCAGAAATCAATGAGCAGTGGCAGCCAAATTTGACAAAAACAGGGCAGACTGAAACACGCTGAACTAGGTTTCAAATCCTATACAAAAAAACAGTTGTCTCTTAAAAGAGGCAACTAGATAATACAGAGCAGCCTCCCAGCTGAAACGTCTATCTTGGAATGGCACTGGCTCTCATCCCAATCTCCATGTGAAACCCAGTATTTACAAATAACAGCAAGGATTCTCGAGAGCAGTTTAACAACCAAAGAAAAATCCCAGAAGCAAATCAGCTTTTTGTGGTTTACACCTG